GCCTTCCTCAAACTGAGTATACCTGCTGGCTCTAGATGTATCTGAACCATACTTCCCTATGTGAGGCAAAATTTGCTGATGGAGAAGCTCTAAGTAGAGAAGTTTTTTAAAAAAAAAATTATATTGTTTTTTCATGTTTCTTAAAGTATACTTCTTCCCCCCTTGTGATTTCACATGTATTTCATTGCACCCTCCTATTAATTTTACATTCACTTGCTCTTATAGCAGCTTCCCTTTCTATCCCCTTTCTCTTTATTTCCTGTCTTCAAAAATTTATGTTAAAAAAAATAGTTTTGCTCTTTAACCAACTCTGGCTGCCGCACCTGTAGCAGCATATAGTGGGCCTGGTACAGGGCAGTGAAGCAAGAGAAGCTGTGAAGTCTGAGGCACTGAAACTCAATTGAGAATGAATCCCAAACCAGAATTTGAGAAACACTACATTAGCCACAACGTATTCCATCCTTCAAGATCAATGTCTTATCAAAAGTACCCCCATAACATTCTGCAACAACTATTGTAATATCTCAGAAGTGCAACCACAAATCATTTAATGCATAATTGTGCAGTTTTCTGTCATACTTGGAGATGATAGAGACAGAACCTGTGATCCTATCTATATAAAGTATGACAGGGTTCAGACAATACAGTAACTCACATTCAGGAGTAGAGTATGGCTTGAGTGGTGGGTTAAACTGTAGCCTACTGCTGAAATATTGGTTAACACTGGCTACACTGACAAGCCACCCAATAAGAGAACCTTGTTGGTATGTTGTGAATTGGTTGTTCATCATGGTTTGTTATCTCAGCTGGGTTCAGACAACTTGATAACCCATGTGTCAGCAACAACCATGGTTCAACAACCCATGCTTCATTGTCGACCCACACTCAACCCAAATTCATCCTTTGAATATGGGTTATCATGTTATCTGAACTCAGTCAATGGGTGGGTTCACAAAGCATGATAGTCAGCCTATCTTGAGATTTACACATTCTAGCATATAAGCCGCCATACTCCCAGTGCACCTGACAGATGACTGAGGACATCCAATAGGGTTCCTCCTCCTTTTCCCCAGTCCTCCAGCAGGAATCCTAGGAACACTTTAGCCGCACAGTGATTCCTCATACTCCTGCCACTTGGCAGCAGTACTGGGGGAAGCACCCATTGCTTCAGCCTATTCATGAGTAGATTCAAATGATGCATGTCACCCATCGACTTGTCCAGCCAAAGGCACTACTCAATATGTTGAGAGCCTCTTCTTCATTGCTGCCACTGACATGAAACAAGAGGCAGGGATGGTAGGGATGATCCCAGCAGAAAGATGTTGATCCTTAGCAGAAGGCCCAGAAGAAGGTGGCTTGTCTCGTCACTGAATTAGTCACTGTCACATCAGGTGGGGACAAGGCAAACTGCATTTTGTAAGGCTTCCTCTGATGGAGGAACACCTGGTGTGCAGCCACTACAATTAGTGAGATGGGACAAACCATGTCCTGCTTGGCCTCCTCCAGAGGAGGCCCAGCAGAATGTGCCCCTCCCCCCTCTGGTCAAGGAGGACAACTAGGAGTGAGGCCGCCATCACTGTGGCTGGTGAGGATGCTCCTGCTGTGCGTCCCCTCCCCAAGCCGTATTCTACGCTTGAGAAGGTCAATTCATGGAGGACACCAGAGCTGCTCCCTGCACAGACACACCTCCTCCCTACATGGGCACTTTGTGGGCAGCTGTGACCAGTGCTCATCCAGTCCTGTTTTTGCCCCTTTTGCCAAGTGCCTTATTTGCTTTAAGACTTGCTCCCAGTCGGTGATGTCTGTGTGTTGACAAGGCAAGCCATGGTTTGTCAGCTTGGCTTTTAACGCAAGCTTAACCCACCATGACAAAACCATCCTGGATTAGACAAAACTAAATCGTCACTGAGAATGACCTCTCTTGAAGTAAGTACCAACTACTAGCACAAATTTCAAGTAAATACCATTTAGGATCAAAGTTTCATAAATAAATTTACCAGTGATCAGTCTAATGAGAAAAACAAGATGGAAATCAGGCTGATTAACAACCTGAAGTGTGTTTCAACATTACATGTTTAGACTGAGTGAATAGCGTTTTCCCCCTGTGAACATCCCTCATTCAACTACATCTCTTCTCAGTGTGGTTCCAACAAGTTACACACTTCACCACCAAAACTAAATTTAAAAATGGCATCTGTCTGCCCCTTCCCTAATTTTTCTGATCAGAATATTTTCGTGCCGAAGCACCCAGTGTGGGGCCGTGGGACCAGTCACCGCTGTTGTGCTCACTGCGCGCAGAAACAAAGGAACAAGTGGATCAAGGTTCTGGGGGCTGCAACCTAAACAGCGCCATGTGACCAGCTATCTCTGAGGTTTGCAACCGTCAAACTTCAAGCAGGCTGGAGTCTCCTTCTCTATTCATGTGGAGGTTACCTAGCAACAGCTTCCAGCAGACATTTACACTGTTTTATACATTTCAAGGCCACTGCTGTTTCCTTGTGAATCATGTTTTGTTTGTTTTTGTTTTTTGTCCCTCCTTTCTTCCCTCCTTTCCTTCTCTGGTTGCTTGCGTGGCTCAGTGTACCCAGTGGTAGTGTTGTGCAGCGGTGTAGTTTCCCTGTCGTAATCCTGCAGGGCTGCCGAGTGCTTAATTCTTCAGTGATAATGCATACTCCGCATCTAGGACTGTGCAATGTTATGAGTAACTGTGCTGTACTGGAATGTCTCCTCATGCCATGGACATGCTTGGTGAAATGCACAGGCCATGTCTTTCAAGCTCTGAAACAAGGAAGCCCAAATGGCTTCTGAAACATCAAACAAGACTACCTCTCCTGATTGCAGAACTGGTCCCTTGATTTTGTGCTATACAGATCATTAAAAGCTATTTTACTATTGGCTTATAGTTGTGTGCATGTAAACTGCATGCTTCTGTTTGACTTCTGTTAGTTCATACATTTCTTTTAATTCCTCAAAAAAAAAGTAAAGCAAATGCAGGTCTCCTTTCATGGCTTCCAGTAAGAACAACATTCTTTTATTTTTTCTGATTGTTATGTTTCTTGTTATCATATTGACAGCCTATCAGGTGTAGTGCTTAGAGTTTTGGACTAGGGAGGCCTATGTTCTAGTCTCCACTCTGCTATAAAGTTCACTGGGTGACTTTGAACAAATCAGTGACTCTCAGCCAAACCTACCTTTTACATGCTGTGCAGGCTTCCTTGGAGGAGAAGATAAAAATGTAACAACTAGGTAACAGTATTGGTTTTTAACATCCTCATAATTAAAGGGTAAAAATGTGCACATATGTACAGAGGCTACCGCCCTTATCTTAAAACCCAGGGAGGTTATTTGATGTAGAAAAACCAGAAATTATTTATTTAGAATATTTTATTCCATACATCAGACAATTGGTTTACAATAAATTTTATTTTATGTGCTGTCCACTTGCAGCATGGAATGATATAGTCCCAGGAATTCTGCACTATCTATCTCCATGTATAGACTGACCCTAAATGTTGGCACCAAAAGGAAACTTTGGGAGGTAAACCAAATTAAGCTTTTGGAATAGGCCACCAAAGACCAAATTTAATATATAATAGTTGATTTTCACAGGAACAAACCTATCTTTCTTTGGATAAACTGAGAGGGAGCTACACCCTATTGGAGCAGTCACAGAATGTGCTATATAAGTGGTATGAAATGGCAAGTGTGAAATAGCAAAAGCCAAGATGAAAGTTAGGTAGATAAAATTGCCATCATGGCTCTAACTGCAAGTAGTAGAAACTACGTGTTTCAAGAATATTCTCACTATGTTTGGAGAAAAGAATAATTTGCTTGAGAATAAGAATAGAAATGTGTAGAACTTGGGGAAAGAAGGTCTTCAGTATTTCTCAAAGGTCCCACAATGCAAGAGATGTGGAATGAGAAAGCAATAGCTTATGGTGACACTTCTATTGGTCCATAAATATCCCTACTCTTTCAAGCATTTGACAGTAGGCTGGTACATAAACTAAATCAAGTCTACATCAGTGCCTAGATTCATTAGGATAGAAGGCTAGAAGGGGCTCTCACACTGTGGGTGGAGACATTTCACTGTCGTCTAAGGAATGGATAGCCCTGTAAAGTTACGTATGGATTTATGGATAACTTAATAGTGCTCAGTTCACTTCACTGGTGCTGTTCACTCATGTTTCCTGGAACATTGACTTAAGAGAACAACTTGTTAAAACTAAGAATTTACCTTTGCTTGGTCTCTTCATAGATGGCTTGAGAATGCCATGTATGCTGCCTCAAAATCTTCCCTGCCTGGGATAAACATAAATATACTAAATATTATAAGATTAAAAATTGTAGATCTGGTGACATTGTCCTTTAGAGACACAGAGACTACAACAACACAAATGACAAGAACAGTTTGCTGAAAAAGGATTTTGTTTATTATTACATTAACATAACCATATGATAGTTAACATCTATACCATGCCATGTACTTGTACAAATATTAGATATTGCCTAAATATGAAAGGCTTATGAATGATTTAAACATGATAATCCTAAATACCTTTTATTAACTGAAGATGAACCATTTGGTTATTGGTGGGGAAGAAACAGTGCTGCAGCGGAGGAGTTCCCTTGCAGCTGGATCTCATCTAGCATGGAAGGAAGGATATGCCTTTCAGGTTAACCCACAACCACCAGTGCAAAGGGGCTTTTCTCAGCCTCCTTATTTGCTGCCATTGCAGGAATAGTAGGAACGAGGGTGTTACACATCCCATAAAGCTCCACTTCTGGCCCCTTAGTGGCCTAAGTCTTTGTCTATGCAGTATCGGTATTCAAAAACATTCATTTTACCTGCACCTTTTCAACCCTGCCTTCACTGCTGCCCTTATCCCATTCTGCACCATTTGCCTTCCGACCCTATTTCTAACTTAGTTTTCTGCTGTACACTCCCCCCTCCCACCCTCCCCCACTCTGTGCCCCATTCTCCCCTAGATGCTCCAGGTTCAGCCATTCCAGAAATTAACAAAGAAGTTACACAGGGAGTGCCATTTCTCCTCACAGTAGGCCTCGACCACATCGGCATTGAGCTCTGTGGGCTGCTCAGTGCCTTCTGCAACTGCTGTAGGTTGCCTGCTGGGTGGCTGGCTTGGAGTCAATGATGAGCCTGGGCCATCTCTCCTCTTCCCCACTTTGCTCTGCTTGCCTGGGGCATCTGTCTTTGCCAGGCTGGTGCTCACACTATCCCTTGGTGCCTGTGGTGGTTTATGCACTGCAGAAGGCTCTTTGGCATGGCTCTTCCCCTTGGTTCTGCCTTTCACAGTTCCCTCAGTAGCCACTGGAATCTCAGCAGCCATGGGGCTGTGAGTGGAAGGTACCAGGTGTAGCTCTGCTTCAGAGGCACCTTTCTTGCTGCTACAAAGCCGAGATTTGAGTGGGGTGCTGTCCTGGCATGGGTGTCGCTTCTTGCGGAGCTTGCCCAGGACCTGCTTCCAGAACTGACGACCTTTGGAGTTGTAGGCAGCACATAACTCTGGCTGGCCCCGGTAGACACACTGCTGACCCATCTTGCTGCTATTTTTCCTTGGTGGATGACAACTGAGCTGGAGCTCAGTGGTGTTTTCCCCAGGGATCAGCTGCCAACTGCAAAGATGTTTGTCCCATGTGGAAAACTGCCCAGACTGTGCCCAGGGGGAGGAAGGCTTGGCTTTTTCACTGTTCTCTTTGCTCTTCCTGCCAGTAGCACCTTCTAGGCAGCTCAGCAAAAGAAGGGTAAGTGGAAGTGTTTTGGGGAGCCTCATTTCCTGAAGTCAGTGGAGTTGCTGATGCATCAGTGACAAAATCTCAAGTGAGGAGCTCTTTACATTCCTCAAGTCCTATGGAAACAGAAACTGATCAATGGGCTGAGCCAATAAAGATGAGCAGCAAAAGTTAATTGTAAGCTATATATTCTCCTTAATCCAATTGTGTGACCATTTGCAGTGTGCAGCACCCACAACAGATATATTCTACTTTCTATTCTAGATAAAACAGATACTTACAATTTTAATGCACATATAACAAGCTATCTATTAATGCTGACTTGGTACTTTGCATTCATAACAACATTCAAGGCTACCCATTGCCTGTTACATCTTAACATCAATGCCATTTAACTATCGCACAGTTAAATTCCTCAGCATCTTTCTCTGTACACAGGAAAGATGAACGAACTTCTCTGACTTAAGCAGAAAAGATATCCTCTTTCTCCATTCAGTGGAGAATATGTATTTGACAACACAACATTTCTACATGTGTGCCCTTTAAATGGTTGGACTAACGCAAGTATTTTTTTAACAAGACATACGTATGTTTAGTTTGATTGTTCTAGCAGATTTATTCATAAAATTTCAGAAAAAAAGTTAGAACAACAAATATTTCAGATATTCTGTATTACCATGGTTCCTTTCTCCCTCTACCTCTTGCAACCTTTTAACAAAAGATGCTGCAAATTAGCAATCTCATCCTTGTTTTCATTACCTTTCTATCATGCAAAGTGCAAAACCAACCCTCCAGTTTTGTATCATTCTTAAAACCTTAGCAAGCTGTTGCTGCATATGAGCACAAGGTAGCTGTTAGCATGATTCAAAAAACAAATTTCTTTATTGTTATTTCATCTAACAGTGTTCATGGCTGGAAATCCCAAACTCATCTCTAAACTAACTTAAGTCTTTCCAGTAGCAAAAACTTTCCTCCTTTCCTCCTTTCTCTCTGCTTACACTTACCGTTGGCTATGAGAATCAAGGAGCTCTAAGTCTGCATGCAGAATTATCCTCTGTTAGATGGGCGTACAGAGCATGCATGTGTTATGAACAGCCCAGGAGGGGCCAACCACAGCCGATGCTCCTCCCCAGTTTTATGTATGCAAACACACACATACACTCACCCACAGAGAGAGCAAAAGGAGAATCTTGACAACAAACCTCTTTGGCACAGAACTATTCTCTCTGTGTGTGATGTACTTACAGGTAATTTATCAATTAGATAAACAAATGTGACCCAGTACTTGCTGCTATTTGTCTTGCTTTACTGAATCTGGACGTTTAAAATTTGTTTGTCACATTTATATTCCTCTTGTTCTAAAAAATAAATGAAAATCAAAATACTCAGAATGGCATAGATGGGACTGTACTATCATATCCACATCCCAACTCTATTAGGCAGGCAGAGAGAGTGACTGTCTGAAAATCATCAAGAAGTTTCATGACTTAGCAGAGAGCAGGATCCCAAGTCTCTTCTGTTCAAATTAATCATTAGCTCCGTTGAAAAGTATTTATTACTGTTTTTTTATGCACAGTTCCATTATTGCTAGGATGGCTGAAGGGAAATATATTCCACTAAGGCTGCAGGGTTCATTAGTTTAGTGCATTTGCTACATAATGCTACTTAATTATCTAATAAATGAGTTTAAAGGCTTCTGCACATGAGGAATTTAACCCACTGCTTCTTCCATTGTTGTTGCAGTACAGAAAATCCATCCTTCACATATTTTTTCCCCTGGGTTTTGTATTTTTGCCTTCCTATATAAAGCAACCACAAAGATGATGCTGTGATATAGCCTATAGTATAGTATAGTTCTTCTAGTTTGTTGCAGTTTGTACGGTAATAGCGGACTTTCCTCACTCTTATAAAACTCACAGAAAGGGCTGGAAAATGCAGGAGAGGCATAGGGGATGACAAGATTGTGAAAAGGCCCTGCAAACCTCCATGACAGAAGGATTACTAGTGCACCTTGTGCAGAGAAGCCCTATCTGTTTTCATGAATGCTTTCAGTGGTACAGCTTAGTCCTTGTCTTCCAGTTTGTACCATATTAAGAAAGAATCAGTGTAAGATTATGTTTTGCTGGTACATTAATACCATGCTAGAACTATGCCAAATTTTTATGTATCACCACCACCATCATCATGTCTGGTGCTTACTGACCCAAAGGAACCAAAAAGCAATGATTAAAATATGACATCTTTATGTCTCCCAGCTGACCTTTGTCAAGCTTTCTTTGAATGAACAGAGTTTGTTTGTTTATTTATTTATTTAGCAGACTTATATGCTGCCCCATTCGCCTAAGCCTCGGGGCAGCTTACAAATAAATAAATAAATATCACTAGAACAATAAAATACAGTTGGAGACATCCTGGCCAAAGTTGTTAAAATCAATAAATAAAATCAATAAATAAAATCAACAATTAAAATGATGTTTAAATAAAAAGGTCTTGGCCTGGCCCCGAAAAGCAAATAATGACAGCACCAGGCAGACCTCTCTGGGAAGTGCATTCCATAGGTGGGGCGCCACCACAGAGAAAGCCCTTCTCCGGGTGCTCACCCTCCTAATGTCTTTCATGGAGGGCTCCTGGAGAAGGGCCTCTGCCGCCGATCTCAAGGGTTCACACATACACATACACACTCACAAACACACCATCTCCCACTTCTCACTGAGGCAGTCAAAGATGGATATTTCTACATAAATTTCCCTAGGACCCATGATGCTCTGGAACACAAACCAATCAGAGTGATACAGGGTGGTGCAGGGAAACGGGACATTTTGGAACTAGGAGTTGGTGACCCTGGGGCGTCAGCAATTGTTTGGACCCAGTGCGACCTTGTTTAGAACCCCTTGCCATTAGTTATAATGGAGCAGTGGAGTGGTGCGCAACGAGCGTTCCCTGTAAAAGCCTGTTATAAGAAAGGCGATAGTGTGACTGCTGCGCAAAGGGAATTTCAGCATCATTACCAGCTAGGACGTCATGATGGTGTCCCGTCTGCACATGCGATTACAACATGGGTGCATAATTTTGAAGAAATGGATTCAGCCTTAAAAAAGAATCCCTCAGGTGGAGTTTGAACGGCCCGCACACCAAGGATATTGAGCCTGCTGGAGCTGCCATCATAAGGAGCTCTTGCTGCTCTGTTCAACAGCACACATCATCACTACACTTGGGGCAACAAAGCATGCAAAGAATATTGCACGAGTTGAAGTTCCATCCCTACAAATTGCAGATTGTGCAGGAACTCAATCCCAATGACCACGTGTTGCATCAACAGTTTTGTGAACCATTGCTGGCTAAAGTAAACGAGGATGCCAATTTCATTTCACGCAACAGTGACATTCCATGGATACATGACTCCCAGCTCTTACTTCCTGTGATTTTTTTCTGTGGGGACATCTTAAAATTCAAGTGTACCACACATGTCCTGCAACTAAAAAGGAGGATTGAAGAGGAAATCGCTGGCAATGCAGAATTTCCACAACAGGCTGTCAGAATGTATGTGGAGAAATGGACAACACGATGTTATCTTCAAGACAAATATTTTGTTGCATATTTCAAAATTTTATTTTTGCAAATGTTCTCAGGTGCAAGGAAAGGCGAGGTGAATGTCTTAATATTGTCAAATACTCATTTCTAACACTGCATATGAAATACTAAGGCATGCTCTAGCTTTCAGATTTTTCTCCAAGAGCAAAAGGAGCCATTTTTCAGCTCAAAGGGGTCGCCTAGTGGCAGCTTTTGGGAAGCGAGAGAAGAGATTGAAGCAGGCACAGAGAGACAGACAAACTAGAACAGACATAGAGATAATGGAAGAGTAAAAAATGAGGTTACTTTTTCACCCTGAACATTTGGGACAATCATCAACACCGCAGAACTCCATGGTACCAGATCATGCATAGGCAGAATCTATACAGAGATAACTTTTTGGATCTTCATCCACATTATTTGATAATTATCTTGAAATAGTGTATCATTATGTCCCATTATATTTATCCCTAAATATTTAACTGGGTTTGAGGTTATTTCACATCCTGAAATCTTCTGTGCATGAATAACGTATTAGGTTAGAGGCTCTGTGTACAAAGGCACAGTTAGGGGCTTGCTCTTGCAATTCTGCTTCCATCTCCAAAATTTGATTCTGTACATTTTTAAATATCAGAAAAAAGCACCAGTAAGTCTTATAATTTCCCTTGAAAGCAGAATTGGTCCATACGGCAGGTGGGTGCTGTGGCAGACAGAAGGTGGCATCTCTCGATTCAGTGATGGGAAATGTGGCGTGACCCTCCAGGTAGAGTGCCCTCCCATTAGCTCCAGCCAACCTAATGGTCTTCTTTGTTCTAGTGCATTTGCAATAGACATAATGACAGTTAAAGTAAGGAGATTTTAATTCAGGATTCAATTGGAGGCCTATGCATACTTATCTAGGGGAAAGTTCCCACTGAAATTCATGGGTTTTAGTCATTTATATTTATTAATTCCTTCAAAAGGGCTCATAAAATAAATTATCAAGGCCTGGCTTACAGATCCTCAGGTAAGCCTGGAACTAAACCATTCCTTCCAGAGGTTTCTGCCTCCTGTGGTTCCTCAGGAGGCTACCTCCCCTATCCTGACCTCATTTGTGGGGTTTCCTGGTTTTGTGTAGATTTTTCCCCATTCCAAAAGATCAAAACACCCCTCCCAAGGCTTAGTTACTGGCAGTACAAACACAGGACCCTAATCTAAACCCTGCCTCTTTGCCTTTCCTTTGCCTTCATGCTGTTCAGTTTGGGATCAACTTTTCACATGCTCAAGAGCTGCTCTAAAAGATTGGAAGGGATGTGAGTTCTATTGATGCTACTTTTTATCAAGCACCTGTATTACAGAAATACCTGTCTTGCTCAAATAAAATGCTGTACTTTAAAAGCTTTCTGTTTGGATCTGCTGGAAAGAAACGTGGGGAGAGACATGCTCACAATAAGTAATGAAAGGGTGGTTTAACATTCACATAATCCCACCA